TACTGTAATAAAAAATAAAAAAAATAAAGTAAATTAAACATAAGTTAAAAAAAAAGAAAGTAATTTACTACCAGTAACTAAATTAATTACGTTTAAATATAATAATAATAATAATAATAATTTGTTAAACACGGTAATAATTATTATCATGACATTATCATTATTATTATTATTATTATTATTATTATTAATATCTTTAAATTATTTTTTAAGGGGTTAATAATTAATAATAATAATAATTTTTTATTACTTAATAATAATTTACCTATTAGTCTTTTTTTTTTTAATTAGAATGATAAAAAAATTTCTTAATTGAAAATCGAATGAAATGAATGAATGATATGATTGATATGATATGAATGAATGAAATAAAAAACAAAAATTTTTTTTCAGTAAAAAATATATTTAACTGAAGAAAAACAAAAAAAAATTTTCTAGGTACGCATTGCGTTTTTTTTTCTTTTTTTTTGGAAGGAAAATAAATGAATAAAATAAAAACCGGAAGTAAGAGAGAACAAAAAACTCATTTGTACAACGTTAAACTCAATTTAAAAAAACCGGAAAAAGGAGAAGAAAAAAAAGGCGGGAAAATGGAAAAAAAATTAAAGAATTTGGCTCAATTGTTATCGTAATGAAATAAAAGTTAAAAAAAAAAAAAAGGAAAAAATGGGAGAAGAGAAAAGTGAAATTTTTTCAAACCGGAAAAGGAAACGAGAGGAAAAAAAAAAGTTTCGATTTCAACGATTTTAATGATTTTTTTTTTGTTTTTTAAGATTCTTCAAGATCTTTATAATTATATTATCATCATCATCATCTTTAAAACGTTTTGAAACCTAGACGAAAAAAAAAAAATTATTATTATTATTCCGGGTGTGATAAGTAGTAATCATACGGATAAAATTAATTTAACTAATTCCCCGACAAAAATTTCTTTATTCCGACTTATTTTTTTTTTTTTTATCGATTCGATTCGATTTGACGATTCATCATCATCATCATCATCATCAATATTAGAAGAAGAAAAAAGAGGAAGTACATGGGTTAAGGGGAAGGAGTGGGGAGGGTTGGTTGGGGGATGGGAAAGATAAGAAAAAAAAAGTAATTAAAAAAAAGAAAAAAAATTCCAGTTTTGAAATAAAGAAATTAATAAAAAGAACAAAAAAAAAGAAAAAAAAATTAATATCCGGTTTGCCCCCCTCCCCACCGATTAAATTTTTTTTTTTCTTAAAAACCAATTTTCCAGCATTTCATCCATCTGGTTTGGTCAGGGGAAAGGTTTTCCTCCAAAAAAAAAAAAAAAACCTAAGGAAAGGGATGAATGAAACTTGAAAAAAAAAATACCCAATTTAATTAAATAAAAGGAAGAGAAAGAGATAGAGAAAGAAAAAGAGAGAGAGAGAGAAAAAAATCAGTCAGATTTTTTTTTTGTGTGTGTTTTCTGGAGAAAAAAATGATTTACGGTTGAGAAAATTTATAAAAACGTGCTTAAACCTTATTTAATTGTATTACGGACGTACAAAAAAAAAAAATTATCCAGATGAATGCTGGAGGGTAGAAAAAGAAAAAACGAAAAAGGGGTGCGTGAGGGAGGGGGTAGAAGAGAAGACTATAAAGAAAATCTCTCTCTCTCTCTTTCTTCCTATAACTCTTTCGGGTCCATGTAAAAACACAAAACTTACTACCGTAATAAAATAAAACAAAAAAAAAAAACTACCCCTAATTAAAAATAAAGTTTTAAAGGGTAGTTTTTATAAGGGTAGAGTTTTTTTGTTTATATAATAATAAAAGTGAAATTAGAAAAAAAAACTGAAATTTAAATAACAATATTTACATACGTTGAGTTGACCACCGTAATTTTTTTTTTTTTATAAACCGGAAGTTGGAAAATAACTGGAAATTTTCTCTAGCGTGTGTTTGTCTGGCCTTTAAATAAAAAAATTTTTGAACTGGAAAAAGTAGGGGAAGAAATACGGTTAGAAGAAAAGAAAGGGAGAAAAGAAAGTTCTAGAAATGTTGGAATTTTTATAAGAAAAAAATAAATAAATAAATTTATTACTGGGGTAATTTTTTTTTATTATTAAATTTAATAATAATAAACCCCCCCCCCCAAAAAAAAAATAAATAAATAAATTATGAAAAAAATTTTAGCAGAAGATGTAATAATAATAATAATGGTCGAATGTATAAAAAAAAAAATTTTTTTTTTTTATTCATAACTTTTTTGTTATGCATATGAGAAAAAAATTTTTTTTTTTGGAAAATGTGAGAGGGTTTTCCAATATTAAAAAAAAAAAAAAAAAAAAAAAACGACAACAAAAGAAAATTCATATCAAATTCCTCCTTATCCCTCACTCCCTCCCCCCTCCAAAAAAAGGAAAAAAGGGTAAACGTTTATAAACGTAAAAAAAAAATTTTTTTTTGAAATTTGAACTCGTTATAAAAAATAAAAATAAAAAAAGGAAAAAAATGGAAAATTTATGAAAATTCGAGCGTGTCTTTTTTTATATTAATGATTTTGTTTTGTTTGAGATTGATATTGAAGGAAAAGTGAAAAAAAAAAGGAAATGAGAGAGAGTGAGGGATATAGAGGAAAACACTGAAATGATAAAAAGAAAAAGGGAATTAAAGGAGAAAAAAGATGAGGATGTGTAGGAGGAGTAAAAAAGAAACAGAAAGTGAAGAGAGAGGGAGAGAATCTGAAGAAAGCAGATGGAGGTAAAAGAAAGAAGAGAATGAGGCGGAGAATTTGGAAAAAAGGGAAAACGAGAAAGAAAGAGAAAGAATTAAAGGAGAAAAAGAAAGAGTGTGAAAAAAGACTGAAGGAGAAAAAGGAGAAACAAAAATTAGGAGAAAGATAAAGAGTAAGAAAGACAGAAGGAAGTCGAGGAAAAAAAGAATGAGAGAAAGAAAGTAGAGGAAAAGAATCGAAGGGAAAAAAAAAGGAGCAGAAAACGAAGTAGACAAAGAGAGAGAGACAAAGAGAGGAAGTAATGAAAGAAGAAGAAAAACAAGAAAAAAAGAGAGAAAAGGAGACATGGGGAAGTAAAAAAAGAGAGAGTCAATAGGAAAAGTGAAAAAGAAAGAGAGAGAGATTAATAAAAAAAGAGAAAATAAGAATAAAAATTAAAAAAAGAGAGTGAAAAAGGCAGAGGGAGGAAAAATAGAAAAAGACAGAATTACTGGAAAAAGATAAAGAGAAAGAAGATGAGACAGAAGAAAAGAAAACAGAAAATAGAAAAATACCGAATGAGATATAGCGAAATAAATAAGAATGAAAAAGATAAAGATAGAAGATAAAATAAAAAAGATGTCTCCAATATAACGTTTTAAGAAGAGAGAGAGAGAGAGAGGGTGGGTAATTTTTTTAATCATGTGATGACGTCATAAAAGTAAATAAACGATTTTTTGAAAATAAGTTCGGCAGAAAAATAAATAAAATAAAATAAAAAGAAAAAAAAAAGTAAAAAAAAAAAAATTTTTTTTTCTTTTTTTCCCCCTGATATATTCAAAAGGTTGAAAAGGTTTTCAAAAAAGGTTTTTTTTTTTAAACTTTATTTTATTGGCGTCACTTTTTTTTCTTTTTTTTTCTACCTCCTCAAATTCATGATAAAAAAAAAAAAATTTTTTTTTTGTCGACGGAAGGTAAAAAAAAATTTTCTTTCGTAAAATGATACGGGAAAGCGATAGTTGGGAGGAGGGGGTAGGGTGGACGGGTCAAGCGGCGTGAAAAATTTTTTCAGCAGTAGATGGAAAAAAAACAAAAAATTGACCAAATTTCGTGCCTGAAAAATTTTTCCCAAATAAACCCACGACAAAAAAAAAAAAAAAAAAATTTGATTTTTTTATTTTCTTATCAAATGATAAGAATTCTGATAAAAAAAAACAAACAAACAAAGAAAAGCATTTTCAAATTTTTCTAGAAAATTACCATTTCGCATATATTTCTCCGTCTCCCCCTCCCTTTTCTTCCCCACCTCTCCCGGGGGAAAAATCAAAAAATTTTTTCTTCGAATTAGGAAAAAAAAAAAAGAAAAAAAATTTTTTTCACCGCCCCCTTTTTTCCTTCTCCTATCCTCCTTTCCTTTTTTCCCGCCAAATTTTTTCGTTCGTAAATTACGTCATCGAAAAATTAATCTCACACCATCGACGTCTAAGTTAACGACATTTTTCCCGCTTTTTCTCACCCATTAAAAATTTAAAAAAAATACTTTTTGAAACACCCTCAAAAATATACAAAAAAAATTTTTTTGAAAACGTTTATTCTCTTTATTATTATTCACATTTTATTTAAACCCCTTTTTCAAATCGGCCCAAATAATAATAAAAATATTAAAAATAATAATAATAATAATAATAATAATAATAATAATAATAATAATAATAATAATAATAATAATAACAATAATGATGATGATGATGATGATGATGATGATGATATATTAAATAAAATATACGTCATTAAACGAACGGAGTGCGTGCGTGCTTGGGCGTGTGCCTAAACAACAGAGATCGCAAAAGGAAAAAAAAAATTTTGATAATTTCCGGTTTTAGTTTTTCGTCATTCGTATCACTCCTACGACGCGAGCATGATTTCCGGTTGTACTCGCCTCAACCTCCTCCCTTCTCAAACTCCCCACTCCTCTCCCCATCCAAACTCTATTTAACCCGGAAAAATGAAAATTTAAATTAGTTTGAAAAGGACAAAAACGCTCATTCTCCCTCCCTCTCTCTCTCTCTCTTTTTCTCTCTTTCTAAAAATTATTAAGAAAAGGCTGATTTCTTATTCAGACGTTTTCTTTTTCGTTTTCCTTTTTTTTTTTACCGATTTCCGTTTTACGCTCTTTTTCGCGTAGTTAATTTAAATTTCCTTTGAAATTTTCCTTTTTAACCTTTTTTTTTCTTACACCCATCTCCTCTCTTAATTAAAATTACTTTTTCCCCCTTCTCCTCCTCCTCCTTTTTTCCTCTTTTTTTTTTGTCTTTACCGTTCGTTCATTCATTCATTCATTTTCCCGCCATTTTTTTTTTTTGAAAAATTCTTTGAAAAAAAAATTTAATGTTTTTTCTTTCTCACGTAGTTCATATACATCATAGAAATGAAAAAAAAAATGTCTTCTGGAGAAAAAAAAACGTGAAATGTTTCCATAAAAAAAACTGGAATTATTATTATTGTTATTATTATTATCACTATCATTATTATCATTATTTAACATTAAAAAGATGATGATAATGTGTGAATATGATTGATAACCTCATTTGCAGGAGTAGCAGAAGAGAGTTGATGTGGAATTTCATACTGAAATTTTTCCCTTATTGTTTTTTTTTTGGGGGGCGAGGGCTTAGGAGGTTGGTTTGGGGGTGGAGGAAGGGGAATAAATACGAACCAGATGTCGTAGATGGAGTAGAAAGGCTATATTCGCTCCATTTCCTTGGAATCGTTGCACTCCTAGATCGGTAATTTCTAAACAATTTATTGTCTTTATCGTTTCCGGTTTTATTACACTTTTTATTACCGCCGCCACCGCCACCATTACCGCCGCTGATAACGTTATCACCATATTTAAAATCGACGTAAACGATGGATTCGTATTCGAGGCACTTTATATTTTTTTTCCTTTTCGTACAATATTCATAATTATTATCATTATTATCATCATCATTAACGTTATCGTTACCGTTATCGATGGGAAAATTTTTTTTTTTCTTTTTCGTCGACGGAAGTAGAGTCAAGTGATGGAAAGATTCGGATTTTTTCGTAAATTTATTTCCGGTTTTTAACGTCAAATCCATTTCCGGGTATTTTTTAATTTTTTTTTCCTTTTTTTCATTTTTTTTCATTTTTTTTTTTTCGATATCCAATATATCGGACACGCTACGTGGTATACAACTTTCACGTATGACCTGAACATCCGTATCGAAAACCCCGATTTCCTTTTCCGGTTTATCATTTCCGTTTTTTTTGTGTACTTCGTCGATTTTCTCACCGTTATCTTGAATTTTCAAACATTCTTTTCCGCCTATGGGAAAATCAACCGACGATGATTTTCCCATCATACCCATTTTTTTCTTCTCGTACATCAAATCCAAACTATCTTTAGAATTTTCTAAAGTTTTCTCTTTGTTGTTGTTGTTGCCGTTTGTTTTCTTTTTATCGTAGTGTTCTCGTCTTTTTTTCCATTTTTCCCATTCCAATGACTCGTCTTCTCCTGTCACGTGATACTTACAATCTTCTTCTTCTTCTTTTACCGTACCGTTAAACGTTTGTAGATTTTGACCGCATTTTTTAAATATCGTTTCGTCATCGCGACTTATCGTTGCCGTTATTGTTAATCCGTTTATGGCAAGAGCTCTCGTCGCTCTTGGTCGAATCATTTTCGATACAACATGACGATTGTGAACGTTTAAGGCACGACGACGACACTCAACACGACACCTTTCACGACGACACCTTTAAGGCACCTCTCAACACACGTTACGTCCACGTGTCAAGCAAAAAACCAATAACAAAAAAAAAATTCACGTCACGTTTAACTTTTTCCGGTTTTGAATTTCATTTTAAAACAACCGGAAACACCGGGAAATTTATATTTATGTATATATATAAAAACCGTCAAAGCGAAATAATAATGATAATAATAATAATAATAATAATAATAATAATAATAATAATAATAATAATAATAATAATAATAATAATAATAACAACAACGAAAAACGTTTTACTTGAAAATTAAACGTTAAAAATGAAAGACGAAAAAAAAAAGTTACAATTTAAATAAAAAAATAAATATTTTGTTTTTGAATGATTACGTCATTAAATTTGACGTCATTAATTAATTGAAAAATAATACGTCACGTGAAAATTATATTGTTTACAACCGAAAAAAAAAAAAAAAAACGCGACAAATATTAAAAAAAACTAAAAATAAAAACAAAAATTCATAGAGTAATTAAACACAAAACAAAAAAACACGTGGAAAAACGCGTTTGTTTTTATATTAACAAACAAACAAACAAAACAAAACAAAACAAAAACGAACACGTACGAACGGTTTGTTTGTTGATCGAAAACAAACAAAAAAAAAAAATTTTGTTTTTTTTCTTTAACCCGTGTTCACTCTTCGACGGTTCCCGTCTTCCTGTTTTATCATCCGTACGCGAACAGACACGAACGCCAGAATGAATTTTTTTTTCTCTTTTTCTCCCATTTTTCCTATATTTTTTTTCCCGCGCTTTTTTTTTTCTTTTTTAAATTTCGATAATTTTTCAACAAACGACTGTTTTTTTAAAAATAATATTTCAGTTTATTAGGCCATTTTTATTTATTTATTTTTGCTTGTTTGTACTTTTTTTTTTAATAATAGAAAGTAATTATTTATTTATTTATTAATAAAAACAAATCGTTAAAATTTTATTTTTAATAAATTTATTTATTAATTTTTATTTATTTATCAATAAATAAATAAAAAAATAAAATTTATTAAAAGAATTTTCCTTTTTTTATTTTTCATTCAGCTCCATCTATTAAACGTTCACGTGAATTATGTCGCCGCGTAAAAAAAAAACAAAAAAAATTTTCCAGGTTGGAAAACAAGATGGCAGCATAATTACATCATTTTCCTGGAGTCAGTTTTTATCCAGTCGACTGTTTTATCAAATTTGATTAATTATTTCAAATTTCGCGGGTTTTTTTTTTTTTTTAACCGCGCAACAATTTAATTTCATTTCTCCAGAATTTTTAACGACGATATAATTATTTTTATTATTATTATCACATTGAAAATTTTAATCCGTCGGATAGCAAAAAATATTTTCCCACAGATTGTTTCTTACAAAAGAAAATAATAATAATTTTGATAATAATAATAATTTTTTCGGAGTTAAAAATTCGCATATTTTCGAATTTAAATTTTCCCGCCTTTTTTTTTTTTGAAAATTTGCTGGAAACAAATGAAAATTCGCGGTTTTTTATGAAACGCGAAAACTTTTTTTTATAAGTAAATTATTATTTGAATATTAATTATTATTCTTATTATTATTATTATTATTATTATTATTATTATTATTATTATTATTATTATGTAAATAAACAAATAAATAACACGTGTAAAGAATACTGACAAAGCGCATGAAAATTTGCGCAGTCTGGAGGGAGCAAATTTCGAAGAAAAACAAGACAAAAAAAAAAAAAAGAAAAAGAAAATTTTTTTTTCTCCGTCATGTTGGCGGTATTTGACGTAGGGAAAACACATTTTCCTCGTTTTAGTCGTATCCGTGTGTCGAAAGACGCTGGATAAAATCGAAAAATTTTCCAGTTACGTGCGCGAACGGGATATAAACCGTCGTCGTCATCGTCGTACGAACGATTTAAAAAATCTACCGAGTGTTTTGATATTTTCGTTTTTTTTTTTTTTGGAATTTTCCTCGCTGGAATTTTTTTTTTTTACTCTATTTAAATAAAAACTTTTTTTGCGTTTTCTCTCAATTTCATAGAGTAATAAAAAAAAAAATAAAAAAAAATTTATTTTTTTACTCCGTTCCATTCGTTCCGGTTTTTTTCTTTCTTTTCTCCCTCCATTATCATCATTACCATTTTACTTATTTTTTTTTTCTATCAATTTTCGGAAGAGAAAAGTGTCTTTCGTAAGTGAAAAAAAAAAGAAAATAAACGAAAGGAAAAGAAAAGAAAAAAAAGAACGGAAAAAAAGGAAAATTTTCCTGAAATTTTCTTAAAAAAATAATGCATTGAAAATACAAAAATATTAAAAAAAGAAAATGACTCGTGAATTTTCATTTTTAAACAAAAATGTCGCGAGTAATAATAATAATAATGATAAAAAGATTACTAAAAAAAATTATATTGGATTGATTGATTGATTGATTGAATTTCATTCGATTCTAAAATTAATTTTTTATATTCGCTATGGCAATTATTTGGATTCTCAACATATTCATTTACGTGGCTTTCGTTACAGGTAAGTTATTATTTTTTTTCCGCTATTATTATTATTAATTATGACGTCATCATTTCAAAAAAATTTATCGTGCAATAAACGCCCTCCCTCCTTTCCTTAGCCCCCGGCTCACTCTCGCACAAAAGAGGGAGGGAGAAAAACATTGGTTCGTTAAAAAAACAACAAAAAAAAAATTCAAAAATGACCTATCGTAACGTGGAAAAAGTTGAACGAAACGATGAAGAGGCAGGAAGTCGGGGAAAACCCCGGAAACCGGAAATTATGATTGATTATATCGGTTATCGATAAAAAAAAACCCATAAAGTAATTAAAACTCCTTTTCTAGTAATTACTATCTCTATGACGTTTTTTAAAGGATTCAAACTTTTCTACTACTTCCTCCATTAACTATTATTATTATTATTATTAATTTTTTATTACGTCACAATCGAAAAAAAAACGTTTTTCCTCTCGTTATCACATTTTCTCTTTATCATCGTTATCGTTATCATTAAATAAATAAATTTTTTTTTTACGACGGTATCGACGTCACCCTGGAGCCATAAAAAAAAAATTTTCCAACCGGAAATGATTTTTCTTCAGCTGTTGTTGCTGCTACTGCTCCGGATGTTATTATTATTATTATTATTAATATAATAAAAAAAAGTAAATAAATATTTTAATAATAATGATAGTAATTTTTTTTAAAAATGATAATAATAATAATAAAGAATAATTAAAATAAGACCCGAGTTCGCATTAATAATAATAATAATGATGATGATGATAATGATAATTTTTTTTTCCCCGTTGAAGTTCCAACAAAAGGAAAAATCTTTTTTTTTTGTTTAATTTCCCCTCCCTCGCTCTCCCGAATAAAATAAAAAATTTTTTAAAATGAAAATTGGGGGGGAGGGACTCCCTGTAACTCCCCCGCATCATTTTTTCATTTTTTTTTTTTTTTACTTCTAGAATTTTCCAACGAAATTAATAAAAAAAAAAAAAAAATGGTTTCGGTTTTTTTTTCCCTTCCATGTTTCGACCGTTTCTTTCCGACGACTCCTTTTTTTTTTTATTTCCGGTGTCAAAGAAAAAAAATAGCAGACGACACACTACGACTTTGATAATGTATTTGATATCATCAAGTAAAGGCTTTCTAAAAAAAATTTTCTTAACTCGGGAGCTTTCGCACAAATTAAAAAAAAAAAAAAAAAAAAAAGATGGAGTCGAAAGCTTTTTCTTATTAAATAAAAAAAAAAAAAAATTAACGACAGCAAAAAAATAAAAAAGCGACGAAGTGTTGATGTTGTTGCTGTTGTTGTTGTTTTTGCGGTTGGAAATAATTATTTCCCATCCTTCAAAGTCAAAAAAATTTTTTTTCCGGGGTTTTTTTATGTTTTTTCAAGCGCGAAAAAATTATTTTCAAAATCCTTTTCCCTCCCTCTCTCTCTCTCTCCCTGTTTAACTTACGAGAGTTAATGACCTCAAACGTTTAACGATAAAATTGTCATTATTATTATTATTATTATTATTATCATTACCATTTTGTGTTATTTTTTATAATTATTTATAAACTGCGGTTTGATAATGAAACTGAGATAAGAACCGAATAAAGAAAAAAAAATTGACAAATTTTTACTAGAAAAAATAACTTTTTTTCTTTTCCGGTTCCGGTAAGACCTTTTAAATTAAAATAATAATAATAATAATTTTTGTAATTTGTATTATGTCAATGATGATGACGATGATGATGATAATAAAAAAATGTTAAACAACGAACGAAACCGGAAAACTGGAAAAAAATGAAAAAAAAAAAAAAATGTCGCGAAAGAAAGTAAATTTTTACTGGAGGCAAAAAAAAAGGAGGAGAAGGAGGGAGACTGGGAGGAGGATTTAAGGATGAAAAAAACGTGGAAGAAGATGAAAAAGAAAAAGAAAAAAGTCGAAGGTTTTAAAATCAATGGGACATTTTTTCCCTTATTTTCTTTTCTTTTTTTTTTACCTTCGGATTTTTCTTTTTTTTTTTTTTATCCAGGGTAAAAACATTTCCAGAATTTTAATTATTGTTAACTTTCTCTATATCGAAAGCGAAATGACGTAGATAAGAATTTTTGAGAAAAAAAAAAAAAACCTTTTCTCAGGTATTTTTTTTTTTTTTCTAAATGTAACTTTATTTTTTTTTTTCGAATTTTCTACCGTTTCGACAGAAAAAAAAAAAATCCCCCCCCATGTTATTTTTCCAGTTTTTCTAGTTTTTTTTTTTTTTTTGTATTTCCAAAATCCTACGTAAAAGAATTAAAAACCTGGAGAAAAAAAAAAGGTTAACGAAACAAACAAACAAAAAGGATCGTTGGGAAAAAAAAAAGAAAAAGCATTTTTCCTTGTATCTCGTTTCCGGTGACTGGAAAATTTTTTTTT